CGAGTTATGCATTCTTAACAAAAAAGTTTATTTGGTTATTTTTATCAAGTGAGAATGGCTGACAACCAAGCATAAAATTTCTTGTTAAAATATACAGTACAAAATAAATATATTAGAAAATACTTTACATAAATAAATAAATTGTATACACATGTTCGTGTGTGAATGTAGTTTTTAGATATCAGATATTGTTTTGTGTTTGTTCTTGATAAAGATGGCATGTAAGAGATAATAGATATAGCTTGGAAGTAAGTTATTTAGAACAACGCCATGTGGATTGTTTTTCTCTTATTTCATATAAGATACCATATTATTAATGGACATTTGTCGTAATGCATATAGATATAGTTTTATTACTTCTTTATTAACTATCTCAAATAATTTTATTATTAGTTTTATGTTTTGCAAAGAATATTCTTTTAAATCGTTGCAAAAATTGTATACAAACTTGTACATTTTTTAATTGAAATTCAGTATTTACCCCTTAAATTGATTCAGCTTCCAAAAATGCCGAAAAGGTTAGGAAATCTTTGCATCTTAAGAGTGTGTTCCATGATTCACCAAGTATATGCTTGCCAATGAGAGAATCACTTGTCTACATATTTTAGACGGCACTGTTCGACTTGTTTCGTATATAGTTATACGAAATTTTGCAATGCTGTCTTTTATAGAATGGGCAATCAAACACTTTTTTTTTCAACATTCTACCTTCATATACCTCATATTTTAGAACACCTTAACTATTCACCACGATTTTGTAATGTGCCAAAATATGTTTACACATTTGGTAGAAGTAAAGAATAACTGCAAAGTGTTGAGTATGAAAATCCCATTTGTATTTACATTATTATTGTTAACTCTGGTAACTCTAAACGCGCGCCATTAAGACAGCGAATTTGCGTGGAAAGTGAGAAACAAGAAGAAAAAACGTAAATTAAGTGAATTAATAAAAAAATCCAAATCCCACTAAAAATTTATTTAACTCTAAAGAAAAATTATGAAAAAATAAAATGCAATTTTAACAAGTGAACAATAAATAACAACGAGCGCAGTTATTTCGTCTGAATCTGAATTACAACGGGACACAAAACGTGTACATATCGCAATGGGACTTGATTTCGATGCGGTGGAATATTGTAAAAATGTGAAAATGAAGCAATCTCTGCCGCCGTACGCGTGTCCGGTGCCCAAGTGCGGTCGCAGTTACAAAACCGTAATTGGCTTGCAGTATCACCTGCTTAACTATGATCATGATAATCCACAACCGGTAACTCCAGTGGTTGCACCAAATCGAAAGAAAGCGCGTTCGCGGGGCACTAACCATTTAACGAAGGGCGGCAGTGGAAATTGCGGGGGAAATGCTGGAGTTAGCGGGGCAGGTGACGATGAACATAACGGTACCAAAGGTGGAGGAGGTGCACACCGCGTAACTAATCCCGAATCACTAGTGTCGTACAATGATGAAGAACAAACAGTAACGTTTAACATCGATAGCAAAAGTGTGCGGCTGGGTATACATCAGCCATTGCCTTTCATTGAAAATCAGGAATACGTAGAGTTGGTGGACAGAGGTTGCATTTTAAATGCGGATGCACCGCCTGTGGAAGAAAATGCTCCATGGGCTAAAGTGCAAGTGCCTGAAGCACGATTTCAGGAAATTTATGATTACAATGTACAGGATGCTCCTCTTCGTCCATTGGCTTATTATCGCTTTATTGAAAAATCTGCCGAAGAATTGGACGGGGAAATTGAGTATGACGTCGATGAAGAAGACTCAGCTTGGTTAGAATGGATGAATGAAGAACGGGAAAAAAGTGGTCATAATGCTGTCAGCATTGATACCATGGAATTATTAATGGATCGGCTAGAAAAAGAATCTTATTTCCAAGCAGCTGCTAATGGTACTGTAACCGGCCATGAAGTGGATGATGATGCCGTTTGCTGTATTTGTATGGACGGGGAGTGTCAAAATACTAATGTGATTCTGTTCTGCGATATGTGTAACCTAGCAGTGCATCAGGACTGTTATGGTGTGCCATATATTCCGGAGGGCCAGTGGCTATGTCGGCGTTGCCTACAATCTCCCAGTACGCCAGTAAATTGCGTGCTGTGCCCGAATACCGGCGGTGCCTTCAAGCAGACAGACCGAGGTCAGTGGGCACACGTTGTATGCGCCCTTTGGATACCCGAAGTACGCTTTGCCAACACGGTGTTTTTAGAGCCAATAGGTAAAATTGTCTATGATATTTTGTAATACTATAATTCATAGTAAATCTTATGTATGTAGATTCCATAGAGACCATACCTGCCGCTCGCTGGCGATTAACGTGCTACATTTGTAAAGAGAAAGGCTTAGGTGCATGCATACAGTGTCATCGCAACAGCTGCTACGCTGCTTTTCATGTCACTTGCGCGCAACAGGCTGGACTTTATATGACGATGGACATGAACGAGGGCGGTGCTCATAGTGATTCCTCAGTGCATGTGCAAAAGTATGCCTTTTGTCATGCTCATACACCAGATAACGCCAAGGCCAAATTAAATCTCAAAGATTTTGAAGACGCCCGTCATAAAATGAAAGAAGCGCGTAAAGCTTTGGCAAAGAAACGCTCCTCTGCACCAGTGGTTCTTATCCCTACAATACCGCCCGAACGCATTCAGGAGATTTCCAGCATGGTGCATATGCAAAAAAAGAAAGAATTCCTTGATCGTCTCATAGCTTATTGGACCTTGAAACGTAAATACCGCAATGGTGTGCCACTGCTAAGGCGGCTTCAGAGTCAGGGTAATAATCATGGCGTCATTCAGCGCAATGGCATCGAAGGGTCACCAGATACGTCCGAGCTATACCGTCAGTTGAAATATTGGCAATGCCTGCGACAAGATTTAGAAAGAGCACGATTACTGTGCGAGCTGGTTCGTAAACGAGAAAAACTAAAAGCCGCTTACGTTAAAGTTTGCGAGCACGTGGTAATGTTACAGTTGAATCCTTTAGAATCAGTTCTAACCAAATTACTGGATGCCCTGGAGGCTCGCGACACATCAGAAATATTCCGTGAACCTGTAGACACAACTGAAGTTCCAGATTATTTGGATATCGTGACCCATCCCATGGACTTGGGTACAATGCGAAATAAACTTCAATCTGGGCAGTACACTCATTTGGATCAACTGCAGGCCGATTTCGATTTAATGATACAAAACTGTTTAGCATACAACAACAAAGACACTGTATTTTATAGGGCTGGTATCAGAATGCGGGATCAGGCCGCTCCCTTATTTCAACAGGTACGAAATGATTTAGCGCGTGAAGGTCTGCTCGATAAAAGCCAGTCGGATCATGTTGATCATGTGGAGCATGAGGTAGAAGAAGAATTGCAGCGACTACTGGCATCATCGCCTTGTGAAGCTATTGTGCAAAAGCTCTTAATTTTGGCAGATAAATCTCAGGTGCTCAAGAATCCTTCATATCGCACGAAGAAAATCAAACAAATACGCCTAGAAATCTCACGTATGCGAAAATCTATTCAAAAGGCTAGAATAGCTGCTGTAAGTATTTCATTAATAAGAAAAACAAAGTTTTAATCCTCACTAGGCAAACGAAACAAATCTCAATTACAGCGAAACAATGCCAATTTGAGTGCAAATTCCCAAACAGAGGACGATGAAGAAATCGAAGAAAATCATAACGTCGAAGACATGGATGTTGATCCTCCAATCAAGCAACCGCAACTCCAATTGCATCAAACATTAGAGCAAATAACACCAAAACGATCACGTCGGCCGCACACACTCCAAAATCATGTACTTAGCGAGGATGACGAAGAGGAAAATCTCCGTCATGATGAAGATGACGACGAGGTTGAAGTAATGGTTGATGAATCAAAAAGAGCTAGCCACGCAGTACAAACGCCGCCTAGTAGTCCTGTAAAAAGTTTAAATAGTAGCGCCTCACCGGTAGGCGTTAATCGAAGGTAGGTTTGTAACAAGCGGAGCCTCTACCTTTTTCTGGTGACTAATTTCATATAATACTGGAAAGGAGAATGTCAACATCTTTTGAGTTAGCTCACAATGAGAGAGAGAGAGACAAAGAGAAGGAAAGAAACAAAGAAAGAAAAGAATTAGACAGCGGCAAAATTAGGTGGTGTCACAACAAATCAAGCGAAGCTCCTTCTAAGGCTAAATAGGAAGATATTTTCAGTTCTATATAGACAAGAGTGTATGTAGGTGGGCACAGGTAAACAACCTTGAAATTTTGTAGATAGCTTTCTTCCAGGGTTGTGTTGTTCTTTAACGCTTTCAATTGTTTACGATAGAGATAGACACAGACTTGAAATGATAACTTCGCGGTTATAATTAATTTTGAATATAAATGTACCTAATTGCAGAACTGCCGTGCTGTTCACGCGTAAAGCCCAGGCAGCTCTTAAACGGCCAGCAGAAACCCCTGCAACTCCGGTTAAAGAGGAAAACACAAATAGCAGCAGCGGTAACATGACCGGGGTATCCTTAATGTCTTCAATGAATAGCGCGATGACTGCGGCAGTTGTTACTGCAACGGCTCTGGGATCCTCGGCCTTGGCGATAGCTAATAAATATAGTGGGGGCCTTAACCAGCTGACGCCATTATCAGCCAGTCTAAGTCAGGTTACGACAAGTTTGGCAGGAAAATCTCCGAAACGAAATGCTCGGCACAAACGCCTTTCGGAAATGCGTAATAGTGCTTCTATGTCGCCGAAAAAATCGCCTAATCGAACGCCGCTGATATCAGCAGCCGTTGTTGCTGGCACGCATGCACCCTCATTGCCTGCAGTGCCGTCTATACAAACACCTCCCGCTCCAAACTTAAGCAATTATGAGGACATGCCCGACAAGTTTCTTATTTATCGAACGAACAACGAGCGTGATGTCAGTGACAGCGAGGATGACGACATGAGCGATATTTCAGCCAGCCCGTGCAGTAGTTGTTCAGGTTTAAGTGTTAGTTGCTCTGGATCAGATTATGATTCAAGCGAAGACGATGAAGACGATGAAGAGGACGACGAAGAAGATGAAGATGAAGACGAAGTTGGACAAAACAATGTTGCTGCGGCGCCGTCGTCGGCCGAAGTTGAGTCCAATGACTGCACAACCAAGGGTGAAGGCAACGGCGGACCGATGAGTTGCAGCGGTGAAAGTGAAAATGAAGAAAATGCTGATTCCGACACACAGACACGTAGCATCGCAAGACGAACGCCAACGCCTTCGGAAAAACGTGCAAATAAAACAACACGAAATAAACAAAAGAAGAAGCCGCCCTCCCCGCCAATAGCAAATCCTCAAACAACTACTTCAGTTAAAAGCAGTACACGTTTAGCGGTCAATAAGCAAGCGGTTCAACGCACTGCTACACCTACACCAAATAATCTCCATAGCGCGATGAAAACGCGAAAAAGTAACAATAATGCAGCAATGACAGCTAACAACAACACTGGGAAAAATAAATTAAATAACGTTAATAGCAGTTCAATGGTTGCAACTTCAAATTCCACGCTTAATAGCATAGGTGGTGAACACTTATTGAAACCGCCACTGGAGCCGTTGCAATTAGTTTGGGCGAAGTGTCGCGGTTACCCATGGTATCCTGCCTTAATTTTAGATCCGAAAACGCCTAAAGGTTACGTTTATAATGGTGTACCACTACCGGCACCACCTAACGATGTGTTGGCTTTACGCAAAAATTACCCGCAAGATATGGAAGTTTTTCTTGTTTTATTTTTTGATGCGAAACGCACCTGGCAATGGTTACCGGCCAACAAATTAGATATATTAGGCATTGATAAACAGTTGGATCAGCAAAAACTTGTCGAATCGCGCAAGCCTACGGAACGAAAAGCGGTAAAAAAAGCCTATCAGGATGCTTTGCATTATCAGAGTCAGGTTTCCGATCTGGAAGGTCAAGGACCTGATCCGATTATGTGAAAGTGTTTACATGTCAGTCCCGTAATGACTGACATTAGTTAAAATTCGCTGTTCGATGACTGTTTATTATCAGTAAACTTGGAGCAGACTACTCTCACTCCATACTGGGTTCTTCAATTCAATCCGGGTTTGCATAACACGACACGATACGAAGAACTACAGTTTTGTATAAATATGTATTTCGACTTTTTCTTTTTTTTATTTCTTTCCTCTTTTATCAGCCTTTTTTGTATATTTGAAACTTGATTTGATATATCATAGCCATTACACAGCTATTCTTGTTATTGTAATATATATTTTTATAAATAATTATCATCGAATGGCGTATATCTAAACGGGATACGCGATTCGACTTTCTAAATGTAAAAGAGAGTGTATGAGAGTGGATGATATTGTGGTACCTTTCCTATTAATGCTTTTCATGTTTCTAATAAATGTTACAGAACTTTTGTGATCCGTAAAAACTTACAACCTTTAACTGGTTTGGGTTCAAATTTTTTTAAAAATGTTCTAAAAAAATTAAGCGAAAAAAATAGTCATCTCTCTGACTTGAATTGTTTATATGTATGCGTTTTTAAAAGCTTTTTAAAATTTAGAATTTTTTTTTTTAAATTTTAATTCCCTTAAAATGGGATAAAATCCAACAGAGAAGGAAAGATTCACATACGCCTGTAATAAAACGGAAGATAAAGTTGTTTGTATTGTTTATTGTTAATATTAACCGATTTTGATTATTATTTAATTTTTTCATATATATATATATAGCGTAGTAATATATATATACATATATATATACCTACGTGTACGTCTCTACATTTAAGTATTTGAATATTATATAAAAACTTTTTACTTCTTTGTTTTTAGTAATTCTCTCACTTGCTGAGAATGCCCTCCATTAGTTTATTATTTAAGTTTAAAATTATATTTAAAACAAAACGCAAAAAAAAAACAAAAAAAAAAAATTCTATATTTAAAAATAAATAATGTGTAAAAAAAAACATACATTTTTCAGATATCTTAATTTTATTGTTTTCGTTTTGCTTATAAATTTATTTATAACAAATAAACATGTATATGTAAAATTCATATCAAATTTTTTTTTGTTTTTTTAAATTGAGCACATTTTTGTAGGTTTTTTAAAAATTATAAATTTTTTAAAATCAATTAAAAAGAAAATAATAAAAAATAAAACGGAAAAGAAAATTTTTAAAAAAACTGAAACAAACTCGGAAGCGGGAATAAATTATAGGGTAAAATAAAAAAATTTTTTCTCTTTAATTTTTTTTTTTTTTATCAAATACATTGAACAGCTCTCAAGTCCCTATTTTTTAAAATTTTTTTTTAAACAATCTCGTGCAGACACTATAACTTATATGTTAAGTTTTTACTGATTAATTATGTAAAAAAAAAAAAAAAAAAATATATGAAATAGTTCTCAAAACCAATATTATTAATGTAAGATGAAGATAAATCATACTTTTGCACACATCCAAAAACACACGAACATACCTACACCTACACCCACACTTCTTAACACAAGCATACAAAATTAAATCTTGTAATAAATCTTAAAAAAGCAAAAAAAAAGAACAAAAAAATCATTAAAATAAAAGTTAATTAAAACTTATTAAGTTTTTGAAGTTAAATTGTTTTCTATTCTTTATCATTGGCTAAATTTAATCAGCCATTCCAGCCCTGCTCTACTATCCTCTCACTGTCTCTCTCCATCACTCACTTGTCCACATATTATAATATATTTTCTGATGATATGTGTGCTTAGCCTGGCGCATGTCGGCTTCTGTTGCCCTTTTGTAAAAATTTTTATATGTATATATTATATAAATATATAGATTTTTGTTCTGATTTTAGTTTGTATAGTTGTTTAAAAATTCACTACAACTCTCATAAGATATTTCATTACTCTTTTAAGAAAAAAATAAAAAACCGCTAACTAAACTAAAGACTTTGTCTAAAGTCTTACACTAGAAAAAAAGCCAAGAAAGGAAGAAAAAACTATAACAGAAAACAAACACAAATACCGAAATAAATGTTAACAAGAAATTTAAATAAGTTTTTTATGCTCTTGGAAATGAAAGGAGATCGGAATTAGTTTCGATCGTTTTTTTTTTTTTTTTTTGTTGGGACATGTTATATAAGGCAAAGAGATGGAACTTTCACTCATGATGCGCGGGTATAGCAAGTTTGTAAGAGTGTATGGAGCATCAAGAAGGACTTGAGATACACCGATCAACACGAATTGTCATTCTGAATCGGTCTGTCGGCCTGTCTGCCTGTCCCCCTTGTCTTTCCTTATAATGCCTTATTTTAAGAAGCCGTTACATGAATGCCTATATTAAGCGAAGTAGAACAGGATGGGATCTTTTCCCACTATAGTGGTTTTAGCGCTGACACTACATTGTGCCGCTTGCTGCAGTCCACAGTCAAGTACTTAATAAATTTGAAATTTTAGTCTTCTTTTTCTGCTGTCTTGAAAAACACTCATAGGGAGCGGTGTACGAATAATGGATGAATAATATATATATTGGAACTATATGTCCACATGTTAGATTGCTATTTCGGGACGCTCTTGTTTATAAACTATCTCGTTGTTATGTACATTTTTTAGAGTTTTTTTTAAATATTTATTTAGCACGATAAGTTATTAATTTCCACGGACCCTGGCGGAAAAGTTGTAAGAATTAAGAAATTTTTTTCAATGACTTCTTCAAAATAGGTCTTCATGTGGGAAATTCATTTCTAGCGGGCCTCGTCTTCTGCCACAATATGTCAGTCCATTAAATGTCATCAAAATGTTCGACAAATTGCAACCTTGAGTGATGAAAAGCGGACATACCTAGAAAGACTACCAGACGTACAGATAGAGAGAACTGCGTAAATTAATTTCGACGATCAGAACGATTTGGATTCGCTTGTTGTGAGATAATTTGTTTCAAAAATTGTGACCTTGAGATTTGAAACAGGATGATAGACATGTTTAATTATTGTAAAAAGCGGTGACGTTTTTCTCATGTTCTTCCAGGTATTATGCACTATACTTATCATATTAGTAAGGGATTTGATAAGATGACACGCGCTCGATATGATTTTGAAAATTCATTAATTAACGAAACTTCCAGACGAACACATTTTTAAATCCTTTATTTTCGATGCAACAATTCGCGGTCAAATCGTAAGCAGCCAATTTCGTCAGAAAGGGCATTTTCGTCGTTGATAAACCATGACGTCCAGGATCACCGATTAATATCATTTTGCCGGCATCGGCCAGATTATCCAACCAAGGAAACAGAATATCAGCAATTTCTTCATCATAGAATAGATCGCCAATGCAGATAACTTCTTCTTCCACGGGAGAGCCGATTAAATTCCTACTTGAAATGAACAACTTACATAAGTCGATCGAATTGAGCTCAGCATTTACGAGAACTGAACAGCCGGCGGCTAAAAATTATCAAAATACAATTTTCCAATTAGAAATGTTAAAATATTTTGATCTGAGGCAGATAGGTATTAGGAGGATTTTAAAAAAATAAGAAGAAAAATGAAATGTGAAAAAAGGGAGAGAATAATCAGGACAATCGTGTATCGTTCAGAGCTTGATATCTTATAAATTGTCTGCTTTAGTATAAATTGATTATAATTTCGTTCAACATTTTTCTGCTTTAGCTAGTTGTTGCTTCCAACAACACTTTCTGTTAATCTCCTTTTAGTCCTTGAAAATCCCAACACATGATTACCTTCATCTGTATCGTTGGCTAAGGCATATTTAGCATTTTTCTTGATTGCAGCTATTGATGTGGCTCCACAACCACAGCCCACATCTAAAACAGATTTTCCTTTGACAAGGTCGGGACGTTCTAAAATAAATCTATCGCAAATTAGAAACAATCTTTAGTAGAATGTTGAAAATAAGCTTTAATATGAATACGTACTTACTCAGCGCCTGACCGCCGGGCCAATAGAAACCCCAGAATGGATCATTTTTAAATAAATTTTCTAATTCTGCGGTTAATCGTGCATTAAATAAACGACATTCGGGTGTTATTAAGTGTAAAAGAATCTCCGGCGTTAAATGTTGATCTGAGATTTTTGTCTCTTTTACAATTTTTTCCTTTAGATTTTGAAAGCAGCTATAAAAAAAAAAAAACACCACAGCAAGCATATAGAGGGACCCACAATTAAATATTTTACTTAATATAGTTTGCTTTATAACGACTTTTCAAAATGTGATGCTGTATGAGATGTGATAGAAAAAGTGTTCCGATTCGAACCATTTTCAGTAGCATTTGTTCTTGGGCCAAATTATGTCGGTACATCCAATTTTCGCGAAATATCGCAAAAATTGTAGCCTCTGAAACAGGGCAAGATTGACACACAACCGGACGGACAAGCTCAGATCGATGCAAAAATTAATTCTGAATCCATCGGACGGGTTTTGTTTTAATGGAAATCACGAAATGATCCGATACCTTAACTTTCTTGGGCTTTGAATAGCTAGTCAATCTAGATGAAAGCAAAAAAATATCCTCGGCGAGTGCCATTACCTTGTCCCTGAAATTCGTGAGTAAGTAATGCTGTATCAAACGAAATGCGGAAAAGCTTTGTCGGTAAAAATTAAATCTTTTTGCTTTAACAAGAGGAATTTACATAAGGGTTCTTGTACGTTCTAGGAAGTATTTATGTTTACTTTTCGATCCTCCCCACGCCTTTATAGGTCGAAAAAATTAATTTTGAATATTGTATATTGAATTTTGGTTTGTACTCTTAATTTAATATAGAAATTAGCCGGAGCAAGTTTGGACCGTGTATATCTTATTTTTTGTGACCAATTCCTTATAAAGGCTTCTATTCTATCCTATGAAAAAAATGATTAAAAATTATATTGATTGAAGAGGTTTAAATTATTTGACCGTCCGCTTTGCCCGATTATGATGGTTTCGCATGTTTCTTTTTATAGACATCCCCGAAAGAAGAGGGGACGCCTTTCCGTCCGTCCGTCTACGTAATGTCTCTTGTAAACATTCTCATGGCCGTAAAAATGAAAATATCGACTTCAATTTGGCAGAAATATTAGAAGTTTTTGTACGCAGATTAGTTTGAAAATGAGTCAAACCAGTCGAACGACACGCCTACATTACTACGTAAAGCGAGGAGACATCCGTTTTTCGAAAGGACGTAACATATAACGAACGTATATTCTATGGGCGACGCTTTAGTATCTGCATAAAAATAGGAAAAAATGACCACGCCTACCCAGTGTTATAGTACATCAAAGTTTAATTTTGCTTTCAGTACCTTTATAACACGTAGAGAAAAAGCTTCAAAAGCCCCATAAAGTATATAAATTCTTGGCTAATTTCAAATTAAGAATGCACCTAAGCATATGAGTGTATTCGTCTGTCCATCTGGCCGCCTGCCTAATTACGCAGTATTCGTGGTAAGAATTCTCCCGTTCGCATATATGAAAAATTTACGAAAGAAGGTAAGAATTACTCGAACCGGTCAAAGGGTATGCCTACAATGCCCACACAAAAATTCTGAATACCTTTGGTCTTCGTGTGTTTTGTTTGTTGCTCATCTGAAGTACGTACATCAGGTAAATTTTCATTTTTATTCCGAAAATAGAAAAAGTCAACCGCGCCCATCCCTTATTATAGAGTATGAAAAATTTGTTACCTTCCCTTTCTTTAGGATCACGGTAATGGGTATAAAAGATTCTTAGTTGGTTTTTATTCTTTTCGTGGAGCCAAGCTGTTGCCAAGAAATATTACGCGTGAAGCTATTCCCCAGCCCGACAACTCTTCGTTTTTACTTCTCGATAATGCATCGATTCTGATTTCTGTTTGTCTGACTTTCGGGTATTCTCGAAACTCAAAAAATTGCTCGAATGGAAAAATTCGCTTTTTTAGGTGAAAGTCAACAACATAAACGTATCTCAAGTCTCACAGCGGAAGAAGATGCGCTCTTGCGAATCGAAAGCCAAGAGTTGTCTGATAAATAACTTCATGCCTAATATTTATTGTTAAAAGCTTGGCTCAGCGGAAGGGATTAAAATAATTTCTGTGAATTTACTGTAGTGGAGAGGGCAACCTTCCAATTGAGGAGACAATTAACCAAGAGGATGAATCAAATCCTGCTCACTATGGAACGGCGTAAGTGCAGCTCATAAACTATTAGCATCTTTCATACCACTCGAGGGTTTCTGAAAGGGCAGCACTTAGAGAACTGTAATGTGATTAGAAGGGTTAGACCTTGTTAACATATAGCATTTGAATTGAAACTAAATTTAAAACCACCGGTAAATTTTCTATGAGCTTCATTTCATTGACAGCGGTTGGTTCCAGCGTTTGAGGTGTAGCTAAGGCTTGATATTGCAAGTGCGTCGTGCGTTGTATCATTTCAAAATTATATTTCTCATCTGTAGCGTGCTGATCGATTATGAATAAATCGCTATCTGATTTGCATATAATAATAAAACCCCAGTTAAATCGACCAATCACATCCATACAGGCAAAGCTTCTTTTTTCAGCTCATTTTCGGCATTTTTATTTTGACTGGGCGTTGTTTCGCTTTTGAAACGTAGACGTTCTAATTTAGCTTTGCTTTCCCCCTCAGATTTTAGGGCGTCCTCAGCCTTAATTAAGGCTATCTTCGATTTCTTTAAGAGTAACGAAAAATTGACTTGAAATGTTAGAACGTTCTTTAGTGTCCGAGTCGCTAACATCGAGTTCAATTAGGTATTTGCGATGCGTTTTTCTGTACAATGCGTGAAATGCGTAGACGATTATTGTGCGTTGCTTGTCTTTTCTTATTTTTGCGTAATTAGTTTGGATTTTTTCAATAAATTATTTAACATTCGTTGCGATGCGTACAAGTTTGATATAACTTTTAATTTCTTGTAATTACATAATAAAAGTACGAAATTGTTTTATACGTTTTCTTTGAAAACTTTTCGCAATTATTATAATTTATGTATGTATTGTCTTCCATCTAGCAAAGCTATATCCTATCTGGAGTATTTAAGGACGAAGGAAACGGTTGTCGCACGCATTATTTCAGAGTTTCGATCGTTGACAATAAATACAAAATGTACTATCGTTTACCGTTATTTGGTGTAAATGTTAAAGGTTGGTTGTATTTCGGTTATATCGGTAAACGTAATCAAGGCATAAAGTGTTTGCTTCTTTTAAACGCTATACTAACGTTAGTGGCAGGCATACTGCTGTACATAAAAACTGACGATATTACAAACGTGATTAGAGATATGTTCAAAACGGCGATACTTTTCAATTCACTCGTTCGCATATTGTTTGTGATTCGAAATCAAGAGGATTTCGTTAAATTTATGGAAGGAATCGAAAGCTGGTATCAAGAATTTAAGGTAACTTAACCGAGAGCGTTGGTGTATACACTTATGATTATATTAAATCAACTTTCCTCGTTTCCTTTAAAATTCTCGCCCAGATATGCGTATACAATATCTATAATATTATTAATAATATTAACATATATACATATAAGTTTTTGGTAAATTAAAGGCCGCAGCAAGATAAACTAACTTAGAATTAAGAATTTGACTACAAACGATAAGAATTCACAAAGTAGTTGTTAAGACTGAGTAAATCTTGCAGTACGATATATTTTAACGACTATCACCATTAAAACGGCTCACATGCAGCTCAGTGAAACCACCAGGAATTAAGTTATCAATCCCGTTATACAATTAAGCCGCTACTATACAAGATCTTTTCGTCTAAGATTTTTTCGTCTAATGGATCCGAAATGCAGGAAATATTCACGCACCACCACTTGGGCTGATTAGTCGGGCGTAGGATACTACGATTTATTTCGGCAGCGCGAAAAAACTCTGCCAAAAGCAGACGACGCATGATCTCTTCTCGCTATTCTCTAGACATCGAATATCATTTACACCTTACATTACTAGCGGTGCAAAAGTATAATTAGTGTGTATGGATGTAAGCAGCACCCGGAGTCGTGTTCAACCTATTGGCGGCAATTTTGAAACATTTTGATGAAATTCAATACATTGATATGGTTTGGCCCAAGATGGAACATTGTTGAAAATGGTTCGGATCGGATCACTTTTTCGACCCTATATAATATCTGCATCTATCCAAGGTTTTGCAATTTTTTTTTTTTTTATTATGCAGAGAACAATTGTGCCAATTGGTCCAATTAGTTTTCGTCAGTAGCACGCTCGGCAAATTGGAATAGATTTCAGTGCGGCATTTGCGTGCGGCTATGCGATACATTTGCTACTTGTTAGCACTTATACATTCAAAGAAAAAAAGAACCATATGGCACACAAAATTTTGTTCCGTTCCCTCTTCAAAATCGTTCATAGTGAAATCGTAATATCAAGATTGAATTTCTTTTTTGTATTATATGATGAATTATTCAGGGACTGTCCACTGATGCGGATGTCCGCGTTTGTAGGCGGATAGGTGAGAATCAAAGGGGTTACCAACCCCTTTGGCCGGGGGAGTTGGTCGCAATTATACTGATTGCTGAGTCGATGAAGGCCTAACACTTACTTAGCTACCGATTGAGCACACACCCACTAGGTTGCGGCTAACTACCAATCTTTCGACAGGTGACATCCCTTGAATGATTGGTCATATAATAGAACCAAAAGAAATATTAAAAAAAATAAGATTGAACCTCTTAAGAGATTTTTTAATGGCCTGAATATTTGCAAGTTTTTAGCTGTATTGTATAGTAATTACCTACAAGGGCTCATTAAAAAGTGTTAAGCTAAACGAAAGATGTTGTAAATAATTTCAGATTTTAATGAAATACACGATTTCTTTTCATTTCAGGATGATAACGATGACATGGCCCTAGAAATTTTAAATCGTTTGCCAAAGTATACGAAATTTGTTACTACTTTTGGTCTTTCATTCGGTTCGGTTGGTGCCGTCGCTGCGGGAATAACTGCCGTTTTATGGCAAAGTAACTCTTTGCATACCTAAGAAATATCATTGATTTTTATTTTTAATATAATTGTACGCGTACAGCTCATATCTTTCCAATTTACATTCCGGCTGTTGACGCTTTCGAGAGTCCTTTGATTGAAATTATCAACTTGTGGCAATCAGTAACAATTGTTCCGTTCATAATGTCTGCTTATATATTATTTACTAATCTATTCATTTCATGGCTGATGTTTGGCATCGGTTTATTGGAAATTTTATGTAAAAAATTTGAACAAATGTCGTCAGCAAACGATGCGGAGAGACTGCGTAATTTAAAATATCTGATTAGATATCATAAGCGAATTATAAGGTAAATAATATATAATGGATTAATCAATAATGAGATCACGTTCTATCGATACGCATAAGTGCACATCAGATGTAGAAAGCAATTTTCACGAAACGCTGCTTGAAGTCGATTAAAACTTTCGTTAACACTAGTGACTGACTACGTTAACACTGGTGACGGACTACGCAGGCTGAGCAACATCGTACGACACGTTCGATATTGCATAATGTGTTTCCGATACATAGGTCCTTTTACGATATATTCTCCGTGTACGCCGCATATTTTCTTGTAAGTCAGCCAAGTATTTTTGCCATTTTAGTAATAAGAAGTCAGAAACTCATGCTAACCTTGTAAAAGCCGTCAAAGACGCTTAATGCATTTCAATTGTAAAACATTTCTGCAAATACGGGCATGTTAATTGATCGATAGTCTTTCAACTGGCATTAAAATAGGGATTTAAAAAAAAATATTTCTTTCATAGAGCACAAATTAAAGCTTCTTTTGTCCGTGTCAGGACACGGAACATTAGATAGTCCTCGTAAAGGTATATATCGCGGATGAGACGAGTATCTAGAATTTGAATTGCAGTTTTTTGTCGATAGGCGAACCTGATTGTAGGCGTAACTTGATAATTTTCAAACCCGTTCCAAGACTGTAACGTCACCTCTCACCTTTCACTCTCAATTTTTCAACTGTGAACTTTCTAACCATAGTAGACTACAGATGGGTCGACGGTTTGACCGACTTGTTTACATTCAGATTTTACATCTTACATCAAGAATATATCTATTTTATGAGATCTTCGACGTGTATTTCTGCATAATACAAATGAAAGGTTGAGTACATGAATGTGAAGCGAAGAGAAGCTACGAAGACACGTGCTCTCTTCTCAATATTCGAAATATAGTTAAGATTTATTTACATCCCGAATATCGGGCGATACTTTCTTTCCAAAAGCATTTAGTTCATTTACATAGGCAGACATCGGACGAACGAATGGCCAGACACGTTTACACCGGTTTCAAAAATGATTCTCAATCGATCGGTATAATAAAAGATGAGTTTATTTTTAATTTTTATGGGTTACATACACTCATACAAACTTAGCGTGCCTTATACCACAGGTGATGTATGTATATGTATGTAGAAAAATAATACACACATACACTTCAACAAATAATGAATCACTCTTATCTATGAAAATGAACAGATATAGTCAGAAATTAGAGGATCTGGTGGCATTGATTTCTATGGTGGAACTAATCTTATTTACCGTTATGCTGTGTTTTCTCTTCGTCTTCTTCCTAATTGTAAGTTTCGCTTGGCATATTCTCTGTTATGTAGCTATGGCTTTTTTTTCAATTTTTGATCCTTTATTTTCATGCTTTAGACAGACAATTTTGTTGATCAGGTTGCTACCTTCATATATATATTCAGTATATTTTATGTTTTATTCATCTCTTACTGGCACACAAACGCGTTTTCAGCCGAGGTTTGTTTTAAAATGAATGCAATCAACTTTTGGTAAAATTTCTCAATTAAACCTTTTTGTAGAGCTTGAAAATTCCTGACGCTGCTTATGGCATTGATTGGGCTGAATCAGGCCCGGAAGCGCGAAAATGTCTTTTGATATTAATATCGCGCAGTCAGAGCGCTTTACAGGTACGTGGAAATGTTCAGTGTGAATGAAATAGTCGAACAGCATAGGATTGTAATTTTTCTTGTCATTTTTTACACTCACCCACTGTCTTGGGGGTGCATTATATATTTTGACAGCCAATGATCCACAAGTCGCACTTTTATAATTAGCGATGTTTTCGTTCCAAGTTACAATTTCCAATAAGAGCCTTCACGTTTACAACTGACGCTTTCAGGAGTGCAAACAAGAAAATTTTTTGCAAATGCCCTTAGGCTGCATTTTGCTTTAGGATTGGGCTGAGCATATGGAGAGCAATGTGAACAAAAAGAAAAATGCGGCCAAAGCCTTAGCATGTAACCCCATAAAACATCTTCTTGCTTATGATTGGCGTTTTTACAGGAAAACACTAAAAGCAATAAGTGGGGACATATGGAGGCACATGTAGAAAAAAAAAGATTCATTGAACTTAATACGTTCAAGTTAAAGTAAGAAAAAGTTTTTTGTGTTCTTTGTGTGACATTTGCAAGTGATCCGAGCAGAGTGCTTCTTTGCGCAATAACTGTGAACTTCTTTTTTATTATACCTTAAAGGAACATCTAAAGACCAAAATTTGTTTTTAAGCCATCAGCGGGGGTCAATATTTTCCACGGGTCACTGTTCTACAGTAGACTTGTCTTTCCGTAGGGGTTATTTCTTACTTGACGTGGAATTGAGACAACGCAGCTCTCATCATTTACATGTAGAATAGTAATGCTCGAGGCAGCAATCTACACTAAGCTAGAGTTTAGCGAACTGGGAATAAGTAAGAATAACTTAAAGCTACGCGTGGGAACGTGGGAACGAACTTGTGACTTTGATCTTTGTAGTATTTCGTACGTGCTAAGTTTTTGTGAACGCCGCGATATTAATTCATTGTATCAGTTGAGTCATTCTTATTTTCTGAATGGATATAAGCTGGTCTGTCTGTGTGTGGCTATCCGATGTGCGCTATCCATGTGTTCTTCAAGATATTTTAAATAAATCAAGTATACAGATTTGCGTCGACTCGCGCTATTCTTACATAGAAATATCACTATAAAGTAGCATATGGCTCTTAATAGTCGGCTTGACTCGACTAGAACATTTTTACTTCTTTCTAATCATTTTTAGATCTGTGCTGGCGGCATAGTTCCCATGACTTTAGAAACCTTTCAGGCACTTTTAAATGCTACGTACTCATATTTCACCATGTTGCGCAGCTTAATGGCTAAGTAAGCCGTTTTCTACCTACATGGAGCAACTAGAACAAAAAGTTGAAGAGTTATTCATCGGTGCACAGAAGAGTTCATCGATGCAGAGGAGAACATAAACTTGCAATGTTTGTAATTTAATACAAAAACTCGGTACACGTTTCGCTCATTAAATGAACAAAATTGTTAAAAAAAAAAAACATAATTTCCTTAATATACATGCAAAAGGACGTGAATGTGTAGCGTAAGTACAGCAAAATTTCTTCAGTTTCTTCATTACGGGTATGCAGACCGTGCGTACATTTAGATAGATGTACCGATGAAATCCATTTTGCGTTCCATAATGTTATTAGATGATATATATAAAATTGCGTTAAAATTGCGATCACGATCGGAATGCAGGAAATAAATGAAAGATTATCACTTGTGTTAATCTGAACTCAAGCAGAATGCATACTTACATATATGTGCATATATGTATATACCGTTGCAAATGTATACATAAGTTCCTTAATAAGTTCATAAGACAACATATAGATGTCGCTGTTATTGATGAATCTTTATAACAACCTTCCCACGAAATGTCCCAATTTGTGCCGTCAACATCAATATTGAGACTTTTGTTTTTGTGAAACAATCAGAATTTCGTGTGTAGCGTCACACTAACACGGCACTACAAGTTACAAGCTAGTTGGAATGATATAAAACTTTGAAGCCTTCTGTTTGAAGTTTGGTATTACCTGAAAATCATCCAACAACTATATGTCATCTTGCGAACTTATTGAATTGTATATATTGAATATACACATAATATATATACATATTTGGAGGAAAGAGACTTAATCATTAAGATCGTCGACAACCTATGAATTAAAGATTTCAGATTGAGATTTGGTCGCGCAGTGAAGAGGTAAGACCTTTGATGGATAGGAAAAGAACTAAGGCCCTTAAAGCCCTGTAGGATAGTTTTATGAAACAATAACCATCATTATAAGTCATTGAGGATATGGCCAGAAAACTGGAGACTATGTGCGACGTACGATCGACGGACGATAGGCGTTCCCTTCTTCGTGCCTCACTTCAATTGACGGGATCTCTTAGTCTAAACAACAATCTATTAGGGGATATACCTCCAATTTAAAACCACCTATGAAATCAATGATAAATGTTTTTGTATTCATCAACGAAGGATGATGAAGGACATTGTCAAAAAGCTTGCAAGCTCAGAGGGAAGCTTCAGAGACCCTATATAGTATGTATTGTTAATCGATTTAAGCATGTGTTTCTGTCCGTTCGTCTGTCTATCAGTACCTTTATAACGCACAGAAACAATCGTCAAAAATCTTATAAAGTATATAAATTTTTGGTCAGTTTCAAATTTGGAATGCACCTAAGCATGTCCCTGTGATCGTCTGTCCATCTGTCCGTGTGCTCGATTGTGTAGTATTTGTAGTAAATGTTGTTCCAGCAGCGAAAATGGAAATGACCTAAACTTTTCACAGGATATGCTTACAACGTCCACACACTTGTGCGACAAAAACTTTCGTTTCGAAAATAGAAAAGTTCAGCCGCATCTATCACACGGAAACCTTATTACCTTCCATTTTTTTTGTCTATTTTGGGACAACAGTGACGGGTGGAAAAGATTCGATTACGACCGAATGCAACTTTCTTACTTGCTAAATTTAGTAAAAAGTTTTGAATAAAAACAAGTACAAAAGTGTGATAGTGTGGTAGTGTAGTAGCAGTTATCCAAAATTCGACCATGATTTAGTAAATGATTTTTATTTTTATGTAAAAGATATCTGAAAGCAACCGTTACACCTGAGTGACAATATTAAAGTTGACCTTGAAAACTGTTAAACAGTTACATACGACGTAAAGCGAAGAGAGACAATAAAGTATTAAAAACTATTTAAAAATTGTAGCATGTCTGGTTGTCCCTTTGCAAAAGTATTCATTTAATTGATGCGTTTATTTATTTATTTTTTTTGCGGGATTCGTGGTTATATTTTGTACTTATATTGACTTGAATCATATTAAACAGCTTTCGAAGGGCTGAAGTAAAGATAAATATGCGCAAGTAACTGAAAAGACCAGAAAGCAGTTAAATCTGTGAGTAGTTTACGTAGGCCAACTAGAAAATTTACTGCAAATGTCCTTTTGTCGTGACTTTGACAAAGATCAAGGTCGAACGTATGCAGCAAGCATGCAGTTAGTCAAGTTTCTTGTTTATTATTTTATTTTTTTTTGTCTGTAAAAAGCATGTTATCAGCATCAGAATACCTTCCTGCAATTAAGACGGAAGAACATTTTCATTATAAAAGCCACGGCTCTTAAGCGATGGTATGACAGTTGTAAGTAAACTTCTTACTAGGCATCATTCGCAACTCGCAGCGTTAACCGGCTTAAGAGGGTTGCTCGAAGGAAGCAGTTGTAGTGAAGAAAATGCAGTTAATTCTCTTGAGTGTATTGATATTGGGAAGCAGTGTGTCTTCCGTTACTATTGGTTATCCTTATCAAACCAGAGTTTTGGCTTATTCTCCAGGACGTGGCGACTTTTCTGTACCCAGTGGAATCATTCAAGGTTATATACGTTATGTAGATAACACGGGCGTTGAACGTCTGGTTGGGTACAGTTACCCGCGACCGGTATTGAGAATAAGTCAAACCCCTTACACAACATCTGTTCAAAGCCCAACAATCGAAAATGCGATGAAGACAACACCAATGGAATCGCAGCAAACAAAAATTAGTGCAAATGATGCTGCTCGTGATGTTCATTTCCGTGCTTGGTGCTTGCAACAATATCAGGCATTACAGCATGAAATGGATACTTTCCGTTCTCAAGGAAGAGAACCTCCTGCCGATATGTTGGCCAAATTTCAACCATTGGAAAGGATAATCGCAACTGTCGATTATAGCACAATCGCTGACATACCAGAGATAAAACGTATACATGACGAACATTCGCACATATGGAACGAAGCGATTTCCAAAGGTACGCAAATGGTAGAACACGTTACCGATAGTCGAGGAGAGATGAATGATGCTAAGACATCACTTTTGCCCACAGAAACCGTTGAACAGAAATTGGCGCGTGAAGAACATTTGCGCATTTATAACGAACAACTTGCTTTATTGAAGCAGCTAGAGACTCAGCGGTTGCATGACATTCACGAGGCTACGAAATCGCAACAGATGAGGAAACCTAACGAACCAATGCAAATGACGGAAATGGGACACGTTCAACAAGGAAGTCAAGACTTTTCCGAAATGCAAAAAACAACAATAATGGACAACAAATCATACAAACTAAGCCAAGCTCTTGGAAGCAAGTCTGCTGTTCAGGATTCTGCGCAACAATTAGCACAGAAAAGTGACAGTGTAAAGGATGATACCGTTATACCTCAGCCTACGTATATTGGGGATACTTCTGAAGTAAAACGAGCTCGTGAAGAGCATTTACGTTTGGTGAATGAAGTGAAATCAAAATATAACTCAGAAAGAGCAGTCAATCATGCCGCTCCTAAAGTGAAGGGCGACTATGATCATAAGTCTCTGTTACAACAAACAACAACAACGCAACAAGGCGTCCACCATTCAGTTCATATTGAAGACACCCCAGAAGTGACGCGAGCCCGTGAAGAGCATTTGAGAATATTCAATGAAATAAAGGCTAACGCCCAACAAAAGCAAGCGCCGTCAAAAACAGTTGAGCGTAGAATTGATAACGTTCAACCGATTGCTATAAGCGAAGAAGAAATTGAGCGAATAAAAGAAGCAGAACGTAAGCAAGAGGAAGACCATTTTATGGAAATGGAAAGAATACGGGAAGCGGAGCGTTTGCAACAGCAACAAAAACAACTTGAACTAGAACGCGTACGTGAGGCTGAACGTTTAGCTGAGGAACAATATCAAATGGAAGCTGAACTTATGCGTTTGAAACAGGAGGAAGAAACCCGTCTGGAGATGGATAGGCTCTTGGAAGCAAAACGTCTCAGAAAAGAAGAGGAAGAATTAAAACAACAGCTTCAGGCGGATGAATTAGAGCAAATAAAAGCTGAGGAACAAACACATGCAAACGTAAAATTGACATCTGATACTGCTATTAAGCCGGTTGCTACCCTGCAGTATGCCCAATATACGGACAATCCGTATATAACGACCGGACCAATTATTGGCGATATACAAACGGCCGTACAACCGCATTACGTAAGAAACACATATTTAAAAGGTGTAAGCCTTCAACCATCTGGTTTGGGAAGCTACACGCTTGGACAGCAACCGCAACCCGCTTATTATATTGTTCCGTATGCCAGTGTTGCCGGCACTACTGGCAACGCTCAATTCTTGAGATATGCACCCCAGGCAAGATCTGCAGTTATTCAGCAATCAACACCACTACCACCAGTTCTGACAACAACAAAAGGTGACCAGCAGGCACAAAAAGAAGACAATTCCCGAATAGCGGCTCACACAGAGCTGGAGAAAGCAACACGTGAGCATTTTCGAGCTCACGAAGTGGCTTTGGAACAACTACGCTTGGCAGCACTAAAAGATGGCTCGAGTGAACCTAAAGATTGCAATTAAGTGTTAATTTCTATTATATCCCGGCTATTGTCTTATTGTTAAGAATTTGACTTGAATTCACAAAACTTATTTATATAATTATAATGATAATTTTAAATAAACCAGCACGAATGCATGTGCATGTAAATGCAAAAATCCAAAAATTGCTTGCATGCCATATGACAAAATAAGAAATTTTGGGCGCCTTAGCTTAGACGGCAATGCGCTTGTTTAATAAATAGGAGGTCTCGAGTTCGAATCTCGCTGCCGCCTTAGCAGTTTTTTTGCAAGTTAATGAAATACTTGCAATGAGTAAATTCAACTTTAACAAGAAGCAACAATACGTGCGCAGTGTGCTTTAAGAGCACAACGTAGGTGTGTACACTTTATTTATTGTTGCTATAATAGTCAACATTTTAAACTCAAATTCATTTTCACAAATTATCATTTATTGCAAAATATTGTTTTGGTAACTTTGTGTATGCACTTATAACAAAACATCAGATGGCGATGCAAGGGCGCCGTGGCTTAGTTGGTTAAAGCGCCTGTCTAGTAAACAGGAGATCGTGAGTTCGAATCTCGCCGGGGCCTATGCTTTGTGGGTTGCATCTTTTTTTCTTTTTCAAACTTTCAGTGCACTTAGACTAATTTCGTAGTATTTTAATAGTAAGTCCTATCCAGCATAAAAGTACCCGAAATCGTCTATATGAGACGCTGACAAACGTTAAGCCCATCTGTACTGCATTTCTCTCCGCCTTTGTAATTTAATAACTCTCACTTCATTTTCCCAGGCGAATAATGAAATCTTATCTGAAACTGACTGACTGATTTTCTTCATTATGTTTTTTATAACTGATACAAGAAAAGAGTTCCGAGCAACCTTAGCAAACTCCATGGGCTTTGAAAACCTAACACGCATTTTGTGTTGCTTTAAAACATTTACATGCAATCTGAAGTGAAAAATTTTGTAAAGACACTGGACACAAGCTTACTTACGATTGATTAATCATTGATTGTGCACTTTCCCTGTATATTTTCCGCAAAGATATTCGCTTCAAAAAGGCAGGTTTAATATATTTGGAGAGTGCATTGAAAGTTTGGGGTAGCATCTGAAACGATAAGGATATAAATTTAATTAATTAGATTCAATAAAAAATATTTTTCAATAGTTTCTCGCGAATTCTTATCCTTTTCATGCTAAGTTTGGAACTATGAGAACTATGAGAAGTGCCCTTTAAAGATATTTATAGGAAAGTTGAAATGTTATAGTCGAGCAAAGCGGATCGTTTTAAGCCACGTCTATAAAGCGGTGCAAGGTTAGTAAGGTTTACAAGGATGTCATATGGGGACATTATGTTATGTTGTACTTCTGGACGGAATATTCACTGTATACGTAATTCTCTTTCTCACGAATTTTTTCATCACGAAATTCACTTTAACACAAGTTAAAAACAAAAAATTTCTTCTCTTACACGAATTGTTTCCTTGGATGTCATATGGGGACATTATGTTATGTTGTACTTATGGACGGAATATTCACTGTACACGTAATTCTTTTTCTCATGAATTTTTTCATCGCGAAATTCAATTTAACACAAGTTAAAAACAAAAAATTTCTTCTCTTACACGAATTGTTTCCTTTTTAACACGCTTTTTAATATTCTACGAATTTTTCTGATCAATTTGTTTGTTTGGGGGTTTATCGTGTAAAAAGAGAATTAGGTGTACATAAATTTTAGTTTGTTTTTGCTTTATAAATGTGTAATATGAATTTTACTTTTTTTGCACGGTTTTTTTGAAAAAATATTTACAGTTTTTTCATTTTATACGATTTTTTAAAGTTTTGTACCATACTGCCAAATTTACCATACGCCGCATATATTTTGTTACACGATCTTTTATAAAAATATATAAACTAATAATATGTAATATATGCAATACATGCAATACAATAATATGTAGTATGTATGGAATAAAAGAATATATGTAGATGCAAACAAAAGCGATCACATCAAGCGGCAGTATAATATACAATAGTGAATAAGTTCGCTACTCATCGGCTCAAGTAACATTGATGTGAGAGTTTTGCCTTTATACCTTTTGATATGTACGCAAAGAAAAGCAATGAACGAAACTTTGAATAGATATCACTCAAGAATATAGTTTAACTTATTCGACTCAAGTCATTCTTTTATTACTTGACTTGTTGTTTGTTATTTATGCGGTAATTGTATCGATCACATACGTATTCCGCTTTGTTTTTATTGTTTTATCGGCAGATGATAAGAATTGTTTTCAATTTCTTTAAAATAATTCTTTTAAAAGCATCAATTATCGTACATATATAATTTATTGATGCGAACACTTTTACTGAAACGTGTTAAAAAGGGAAAATTTATTTCGTTGTTGTAGTTTTCTTTTTATTTATTTTACTAAATATTTACTCAGATAGAAGCAAAACATGTTTTATTTATTCGAATTTTTTTTATAAAAAGCTTTCTTTCTTCGTTTCTCGTTCGCTCTCGATTGAGGGAATCGCTGTGTCAGAGAAGTGTACGAAAAGTTGAAGAGAATATGGTAAAATGAAGAGATTGTGTTTTTTTTTTTTGTTTTCAACTGATAAGACGAATAAAATGTTTTCTTTTTTTTTTTGTATTATTTTGTTTCTTTGAATAGCTTGGCAGACTTGTATCTAGAATATTATGAAATATTTCTTAGAAATACATAAAATCATCATAAAGTCATTTTATAATGGGTGGGAGATTTATATGCATTTGATCAAGTCTATTAAAATTTATTTGCCGTTTGGCCTTCCACGTAAAAGAATTTCTAACCTTGACTAGGCAACAATTCACTTAGAATCGAATTGGTCGTTCCAGCCGTTTAATGTTAATTGATCTATAAACTCTTAAAGAGATGTCTACTGCGTAAAAGTGTAGTAGGCGGCAGCAAAGTTGCCTTGATATCATCATAAAACTTTATATCATCAAAGATAACAAAGTATAAACTTTGAGTATTTTATTTTCTTCTTGCTAACTAACAAAAAATTTAATGGTATCTACTGTCTCTTAGATTGTAATGACTCGTTAAGCAATCTAAGAATTCGAGTGTTTCGAAATTTTGAATTTTACATATATGTATAAGGTATTCAACGCATTTTGGTGAGCCAGGTCCAACCTTAAATACCCTACAACGCCTTGCTGTTATTCATATAGCCCCAGTTTTCAAAACAAGGCTTCGTAAGGGAAGTGGTCGAGAAAGTTATCCGATCCGAACCATTTTCAATAGCGTTCGTCCTTGGATCAAACGATGTCGGTTTACCAGATTTCATTAAGATGTCTCAGAAATTGCTGCCTGTCTGTTGAGTACAAGAAAAGAGGGCGGACAGACGGACAGACAAGTTTAAATCGATCAGTGTAATTAAAGGTAGGTCTATCCAAAATTAATCTGTGTGTTGCATACATCTGCACACAATTAATGTACGTTTATACCACAAGCGGTGTAGGGTGTAAAGCAAATTTGAAACCATTTTTATGAGTTGTCAGAGTTTTTTTTTTACCTCTCTCCCGACGTTTTTCTAATATTAATTTTTACTCTATAATTTCAACTTTTTCTTAATTGAAATTTTATTTATTCTAAATAAATCCTTTAGTCGATCTTTGTGTGACTTTTAGTGCGAAGTTTGCACTATTTATGTGTTCGTGGCTGTCCATGGTATGTCTTTTTTTGTTATTAGACTCTTCGCTGCGTATGATTGCGCGTTGCAAACGTTTGACAAGTTTAATGCCTTGAATAAATATTTTCTTTTGTTCTTTGATTTCTACTGCATATCGCTTTTTAATTCACTCGAACAGCGTAACAGAACTTGTGTTCTGAAAGAAATACAGATGGCCCACTTCTTTTATACACACATACACATATATAGATAAAATGCACGTGTTAAATTTGTTTTGAATAAACGAACAAAAAAAAATTTGGATTGAAGTGAGGGTATTGACGCGCTTTTAAGCAACTGTGCTCGAGTATCTGAATAACAATTTGACGTAATACGATCAATAAGTCTTTGTTAACACTTCCAACCCGGACATGGTAAACTTAATCAAAAAGAAAAGGCAAGAATTTATTAAATTTCTTTTACTTTTAACTCTATGTTGAATTAAGAGAGAATTGTTGAAACTTTTCGGGTTTTTTTACAAAAAAACTAGTAAGAAGTATGCGGGAAACAGGATAGGATCTTGGCCTTCGAAAATCCTTCCCCCAATGCAAGTCCTTTTCGCCGTAAGAATCGATCAGGTGCTTGCGGGAATTGCTTTCGTGGCACGCTTCATCCCTCAAATTATAGCGGGCGATAAAGGCCGGCCTACGTCGAATGTTATCTTTCTTATATCGTATATTCGCAACGGATATGTTGATGTATCGTGAGAGCTATCTTGCTTTCAAATATGGTACGTGGCATGGTGCTCAATAATAAACGTTTCAGCCTAAGAGGAGTATAAGTTGCTTGTGCCTTTTGTGCTACATATAATATTATGGATCACTCAATAAGTCTCTGGTATGACAAATACATGACAACACGTTGTTTGCAGACGTATAAGATTTCTAGATAGTTCCAGCCTTCAGGCAATACGTGCCAAAATTTCATAACATTTTGACAATTAATTTACAGGTTATATTGGTTTTAGTTCTGTTATTTTCGCCATAAGGCAAAACGTTTGAACTTCGCTTCTTGGATGGATTGTTAACTTTAAACAGAGTAATATGGACACTGCTGTTGCTGAACGTCCTACTTGCACGAATTCGGCCGTTGTTCCAAAAACATAAAAATGTGCGCAAACTCGTTTTCGAGGTGCGAAGAGCGAAGTTGCGTGAAATAGCTGACGCCCTTATTAACTTTTGACCGCAACCAACACCGTTTTCGAGCCGTATAGGTGAGAAGAAAAAATGGAATCATTACTGCACTCCAGAGTTAAATGGGAAATCAACCAACTGGATAGCAACCGGCGAAAGCCGTCCAGCAAAAA